AAGATTTAGTAGAAATTCAGAAGAAAAGGGAATGAAAAAAATAATGCAAATTAAGAAGTAATAGGCTTTAGGGACAAGTTTGATATAATGGATAGAGAAGGAAAAATCTAAGGTGATTCCAGGTGGATTTTAAATGCTCATGTAGTATGGCATTTTTGCTCATGAGCTAACGGGCATTTTAAACACATATACAGTTGCCTTTGGCCTATTTTAAAAAACCCAAAGAAATAAAGTAAATTAGTAAATTAGTGAGATGTGTTAAGACTAAGCTCATCTGTGTTGGCTTTACATCTTACTGCAGTGGGTCTGAAATGGAGTATTCAGAGAGATGGCAGCTCTTGAGCATATGAATGAATAGAAATGTTTCTTGCAAAGGTGTCTGTCATCCCTGGTCCATGATAGTGTTACAATATACATGCACATGGATATGACTGAAAAGCCAAGGTGGGACCTACCTGGGTGCTTCCATGCTGCTCTCACGGTGGCGGGGGCTTTGCCACTGGAGTTGATGCTGGTAGTGTTTGTACACAACTCTTTTACCCACCTGGTTAGCTCAGAGCCTTTGCTGAAGAAAGCATGCTCCTGCCCAGCCAGATTGCTTCACAACAGGCTTCTCCATCTGCAGCTGTTATTTCCCAGCCATCCACTCTGGAGCTACACGATGGGACACAGGCAGGGGATTTATTCACGAAGGCGTAGCACTTGGGACTTCAGGAAGGACTTTATTCCTGTTTATCAAGGCAAGGAAAGAAAATACAGAATCCTTACTTGGGTAGGGAAACCTTGTTTGCAGAATGCACAGATATGTAGTGTTTCTGATTTTGTGACACCTGGATCTGGACCTGGAGGTGGCATGGATTTCAAAGTCATTATGTAAGGTAAGGAAAGAAAACTTTGAACAGCACTATCACCATAAAAGATCCTGCATTTTTGTTGTGTTTTTGAACTGTTGAGCTAAATAATTTTAGTGATTAGCAAAAGACCTCTGACAAGTTGGTCTTAGAAAGGCTTGGATTAATAATTTGTTTCCATTTTGTTCACAGATGCACTGTCTGTAGGGCAGGGGTGGGATGAATACCTGCTTCTCTAAGTACCTGCTTCAAGTCATCTTTCACATTTTCTTCCTGGAAAAACAGCCATTGGAGAATCATCTTGCTCCCTTCAGCAAAAATGGAAACAAGTCAAGACACTAAGAATGCCACAGTTGCCAGCAATTAATGATGCCGGTGCTATGCAAGCAAGCTTTGGCAGAGGAGTTTTCAAGACAGTGTGTGCCTCACTAGCCAGAAGTCAGGAAGGACTGAGCCTATGCTTTTCGTCTCAGCTGCTCCTTAGATCAGTGCAACCCCTCCAAATTAATGTGAATTGAAATATGCTTTGCCTTTCCAACTTAATTGAGTACTTACTACATGTGAATCACTGTACAGAGCAGGGGAAGGAAAACGAGTGAGACAAATAAGGTGTGGTTCCTGCCTTCAATGGATTTACAATTAGTTTCAATGCACTTTTTTTTTTTCATCGTCTCCTCCTAAGTGTGTCTCTAAGACAGGAAACGAATGGAAGAGTGTATTCTATACGTATTTTAAGTTTGTTTAATAAAAAACAAAACAAAACTCCTAATGTGAACAATTCAGGACATCTTAATTCCATTTCTTGTTGGACTTCTGATAGGTAGGACCCTTTTTGTTGATTCCAAAAATATTTAGTACACTTGAGAGATATTAACACATTATAGTTGGAGTTAATTTGAATGAAATTATTTTTTCCCCTTAGGTGTAGGTTATCTATTGTAAACTATATTGTGTTTGTACATTTCTTGGGGACTGGGGAGGTGAATTACATCTGTTGTCTCAAAAGGCCCTATCTTTAGTGCCCCGGGGGCCTGCCATTCTGAGTGAATTGTTAGCATGGAGGAGGGGAAGGTTTGAATCAAACTTGGGGGTCCTTGCTCATGGACCCAAGAGAGGGCAGGGAAGGAGCCAAACAGACCTGGAAAATGGCTGTGTATGAAAATTTGGCTATTTCAGTATTCATGGTGTTGTCCTCTATGTTGAGTGACTATACAGTTTTTCCAAAAAATTATTTCTGATCTGGGAGTAAGTCATGATTTTTCCTGTGTGAAAACACTAATGTGACTGTAGACACTTGACGTTTTATGTAGTGTCTGTGACACATTTTGGTATGTATGAGCCAACAATTGACATGTCTTTGTCTCGAGTAATGTCCATCTAAATTGAAAATGTGCCAGCGTTTAACATTATCAACAGACTTCTTAATTAAGCTGCCGATACATACTGCCAATAGTACTGTGTGTTGTCTGAGAAATGAATTGTGTAAGTGCTGTTTCCCTCTTACTGAATAAATAATGTTGCTCCATATAAAATGGATTTAAAGTGGTCTTTGAATGGCGTATTATATTGTCCCCTAAAGAATTTGATGGGAATTCTCATATTATCCCTTTTTATTTAATTTCTAAAAACTTCTATTTTGCTTTTCAGTGAGGAATTGCTCTAATTAGATCAATAACTTTAGTTATACAATTCATCTTTAGTAGGAGCCCCCAAACTCCTGATGGTGATATTGTATATTTGTTTTATCACTTTCAGTTTGTGTGAAGTAGCTTTCAGGAAATCTGAGTCATGAACCTGTATTGTACTAAATTGTAGATATTTATTTCCTGTTCTGGGAGATTTTCTAGAGTACCATCTCTGTATTCCTGGTGCCTAGCACAGTGCCTGGTACACAGTAGGTGTGTGTTCAGTAAACACTTGGTGATCAAGGCATGGTAAGTAGTTTTTTTCATCTATGGCTCTTAAGGCTCTGCAAAGACAGAGGGGTCTTGGTAACAGAATAGGACCTCTATTGGTTTGTAGTGTATAGTCGGTCTACTTAGAATGAATCCAAATCAATTGGATACTTCATATATAGTCTAGTCCTCTGCACTGGGCCTCTTAACTGCTGTTTTGGATTCACCAGTTCAGCCCTGTGATTTGTACCAACATCTACTCTGTTTACCCTGGCCCTTGTCCCACTCCACACAGGGGCAGGGCCTTTGGAGGGCTGTTCCATGTCTCCTCTGGCTTGTTCATCAAGGGAAGAGCCATCACTCTGTTCACAGGGTATTCACGATGTTCCAGGCACTGAGCTAAGTGCTTTACACATATTCTTTCTTTAATTATCTCACAACAACCATTGAAGTGTTATCCACTGCAGTGATATGTATCTTGCTTAAATCATGGGGATCTAAATCCAGATCTCTTAGGTCCCAAAGCCTGAACTATTAACCCCTACCGTCTGCTGCATCCCAGGAGAAATTTTCAGTGCCTGGTGGTGGTGTGGGGGCAGAACACATCTGGATGTAGTCCAGACTCACTGCATTTAGGATTTCCGAACAGCAAACTGGGTAACAGATAAAACCCAGCAAATCACAATTGTTTTAAGGATGGGGAAAGGCAGAGCAATTGAGAGAAAGCAAAGTTGGGAACAAACCAGTTTGAGTCAAACCTTTAGCCTTTACCTTATAATGTTCCTGTTTGATTTTTTTCTTAACTTTCTTTTTTTAACATGGCCTGACACCATGTGATAAATCAAAGCCTGACGTAATTGACCCAGAATTGATCCCTGAATGTCTTTTGGGGGAACATGCTTTAACTCTGGTTGTTGATTCCGAGGAATAATTGCCACCCTAGAAAGGTAATTACATATGCCATTGTTTATACACATAATAGGCTCAGAATGCATGTTCTGCACAGAGAAGAGAGTCCTGCTTGCACATTAGGGGGTGTGCTCTGTATTGTGTCAGAATGCCACAAATAGCATTTGAACTGCTCCCTATCACTGCTGATGTCCTGACGTGTGTATGTGTGTGTGCGCAGGCGCACGTGTGCGTGCGCATGTGAGTGCATGTGTGTGTAAGGGAGAGGCAGGCAGTGAGGAAGGGGATGGGCCATGGAAGGCTGTGTGTTGAGCTGAAATGGCAGTGATTTGCTTTTCCTTAATTTTTTAGCTTACCAAAACATCTTCTGGATCTGATTCATTTAGCTTGGTCTGGTAAAAAGACTGTTTTTGTCCTGCTTGGCATATGCTTATTAATGAGTTCTCATATTTCTTTCCATCAACGGCTGTTTACTTTGTGGAAATATAAAGTGAGAATCGTTCTCCGCAACATCCTCCTAAATGCCCTGGTTTTGACCACCCCTTTAAGTAAACCAAGCAGTCAGCTAAAATGGTAGCTAGTGCCTTTCCCCTTTCACTGTGCTTCCTGGTAAAACATAAATGGGATTTAGACCACAAATGACCAACTAAAGCACTTCATGCTTTTCCCTTTAGCCATAAGACAGTAGTTATCCTAAGTAAATACAATGAACAGGCTATTTTGTGGTGGTCTAACCCTAGCAACACATTTTTTAAAAATCAAAGCCTTATAAAAACAAAACGATGACTTTTTGGAGTGCTGCACAATGAAAGAAATACATATGTATTCCAATATGGAACTGAGCATTATATGAGGCTGAAGCAATTCATCCTGGCTATTCTCAGCCGCAGTGTCCAGCAAATCGCATGACCTGCTTGTTGGGCTTGACAACAGTGCTTTACCTAACAAAGGCCTCTGCAGCGCCGAGCAGCAGTGGAATGTCAGAATGAGCACATTTCACACACAGATGTGCAGCCATAATAGCCTGTAAGAAGATGCATGTGGCAGGGAGCAGAGGGTGGGGGCTGGGAGCTTGGATCCGTGTGGTTTGTGAGTGTGTAGGTTGAGGGCCAGCGGGAGGGGGAGGCCAACAGTTAGCAGTAGGGACATGGCCCCACTGACCACATTTAATCAGCCCTCTGTAAACAATTCAACATTTTCATTGTTCTCTAAAAACTAATAAAGAGAAACAAGCACTTTTCATTCATCTTGAAGTAATTTTCTGTCAGGTTGGAGCCCCTTGTGGCCTCCAGCTCCTGCAATGCTAGCTGTGTGATACAACAACTATTGCAATTTATTTTACAAACTCTGGTCATTCACATGTCAGTTAGTGTTCACCAAGCCGGCATCTGAAATTGTGCAGTTAACGAGTTTTACAACATTTCTATCAAGAGAAACTGTTTAGCATAACTGACTCTTAAGGAGTTATTATACCTCTAAAAATCCATTTTAAGGAGCATTATTTAAATAAAATAGAAAAACGGTTCACTGCCTTTTAAAGGGGCTACAAAAAAAGTCCATCAGCTCCAGCGCAGTAATCCTCAGCTTAAAGCACTCTTGAGAGTACTTCTGGGAATTGTCAGCATAATGAAATGTTTTGTGAAATGTCCAGATAGATTCCTCTACTCAACAATTTTACTGCACCATATTTATTTTCCTTCCAGTTTTTAAAGAAGTGAATTACTTTTTGAGAGGATGACTCTATGCTGTGTAGATTAACCAAGCACATTATCATCCAGGTTGTAGCAGAAGTGATGGTTCTGTTTGCGGTGTCATCTTTACACATCTGCAGAACAGGGGCAGAGAGGAGGAAGGCCGATTTCCCCCTTAGTGCTTCAGCGCCCAAAGGGTTAAGTCACCATGAGGCTTATGGAGTCTCACATTTTCCTTAGACTTTTAAACAACTCTGTTACACAATGGCACTTGTAAATACTTTCTTTAAACTTTACAAAATGCACTCTGTTTTCTCACCCTAAATAAATAAATGCAGGAAAGCCGATACACATGCACATTGGCACATGGATAATGGTGCGTATTGTTTGACTCAGGCCCATTTCAGTAAGAGATTCTATTGAACATTTTGCTTAAAGAAGAACAGGTTCCTCACATTAACTGAGATGGCCGATGACCCCCAACCAATTAATGCCTGGAATCCATAATGGAGCACTATGGAGCACGGGAGTGAGTTCATTTAGCAAATTATATTACCTAACAGAAGTAGAAGCCACCACTTGTAATGTAAATGGCCTAATGGTTCTTTCTACTATGAGCAAGTCCAAGAGAAAAATTAGGTTCTGCTGTAACAGGAGATATTCCGTATCCTTAGGAGGTGTGTCTATAGCACAGCACATTTTCATTTTGCCACAAACGGCCCCCCAATTTCTCAGACTGCTATTTGTGCACATGACTGAATTTTCTCAGGGAGACAGGCAGGTG